ATGAAGATGCAATGATTGGACGAGAGAAAGGAAGCCAAATGCTCTGTCTCACTAACATCTCACTCACTTTGAAAGGGAACAAACATTATTAATTCAAAATCTCTTGCATATGACAAGAATATTTCCATGCTTCTCAGTCTCTTACCATATTCTCCTCAGAAAAACGAGGCTTCTTTCCAGGTACAATTGAAGCAGCAGCCAAAACAGATTGCTTGTTTCTTCTCAACCCACTGGTGTATCATCAAAGCTATTCCAGGACCAGGAACTTTTATTATTTGAGATAAGGTGGGGCCTGTGGCGCAATGGACAATGCTTCCAACTACAAACCAGAAATTATAAGTTTGACTCCTACCTGGCTCGGTTTTCTTGATTTCAGTTTTTCGGCAGCAATACAATGCTATGTAAAACAAACACCCAATGTAAAGCTCCGTTGGAGAATGCGGGCATCGATCCCGCTACCTCTCACATGCAAAGCGAGCGCTCTCCCATTTGACTAATTCCCCTTGATTTGGATAAAATTGCACAATTCCAACAGAGGAACGATTAGAATGCAATGAAGGGAAGAGAGAAAGGAAGCCGAATATTGTTTCTCACCAACATCTGTTTCACCAACAAGAATTGAGTATTCCATTCCACTGGAATATGACAAAATCTTTTCCTTGAATCTCAGTCTCTAACCATACTCTCACCAGAAAAAAAAGACTTTCTTATTGAGCCCAAATCAAATAACAGCCTAATGAAAATGGGGATTGTTTGCTTCCTCACAACCCATTGCTGTTCCATCAACGTTATTGAAAGAAAATGCAACAAAGAACTTTCATTGCTATTCACATGCCCGCTCATGCTGTGACAACAGGACAGTTGTAAAGAATGGGAAGTTTGATTCATGTAGAGGTACCAGGACATTTTGATTGAGATAAGGTGGGGCCAGTGGCGCAATGGACAACGCGTCTGACTACGAATCAGAAGATTGTAGGTTCGACTCCTACCTGGCTCGCTTTTCTTGCTTTCAGTTATTGGGCAGCAATGCAATGCTATGTAAAACAAACACCAGATGAAAAGCTCCATTGGAGAATGCGGGCATCGATCCCGCTACCTCTCACATGCTAAGCGAGCGCTCTACCATTTGAGCTAATTCCCCTTGATTTGTTTGTGTTTCACAAGTTCATTCGAGGAACGAGTAAGATGCAATCATTGGAGGAGAGAAAGGAAGACGAATGTTATTTCTCACCAACAACAGTCTCCCACTGAAACTGAACAAGAATTGAATATTCCAAAGCATTTGAATATGACAAGAACTCTTCCGTGAATCTCAGTCTCTGATTATTTTCTCTCCAGAAAAGCAAGGCTTCTTTCCATGAACAATTGAAACAATAGGCAAAAGAAAATGGAGACTGTTTGTTTCTTTGCAACAAGTTTGTTCACCATCAAACCTATTGAAACAAAA